GAGGTCGAACTGTCGAGCTTTGATGGCGAAGGCACTTAGCCTGAGTCCCAGTTCGAGCGAGGTCAAACTGTCGTGCTTTGATAGCGAAGGAACTTAGCTTGAGTCCCAGTTCGAGCGAGATTGAACTGTCGAGCTTTGATGGCGAAGGCAGTTAGCCTGAGTCCCAGTTCGAGCAAGGTCGAACTGTCGAGCTTTGGTGGCGAAGGCACATAGCCTGAGTCCCAGTTCGAGCGAGGTCGAATTGTCGAGCATTGATGGCGAAGGCACTTAGCCTGAGTCCCAGTTTGAGGGAGGTCAAACTGTCGAGCTTTGATGGCGAAGGCACTTAGCCTGAGTCCCAATTCGAGCGAGGTCGAACTGTCGAGCTTTGGTGGCGAAGGCACTTAGCCTGAGTCCCAGTTCGAGCGAGGTCGAACTGTCTAGCTTTGGTGGCGAAGGCACTTAGCCTGAGTCCCAGTTCGAGCGAGGTCAAACTGTCTAGCTTTGATGGCGAAGGCATTTAGCCTGAGTCCCAGTTCGAGCGAGATCGAACTGTCGAGCTTTGGTGGCGAAGGCACTTAGCCTGAGTCCCTGTTCGAGCAAGGTCGAACTGTCGAGCTTTGATGGCGAAGGCACTTAGCCTGAGTCCCAGTTCGAGCGAGGTCGAACTGTCGAGCTTTGATGGCGAAGGCACTTAGCCTGAGTCCCAGTTCGACTCGCTCGAACTGTCTAACTTTGGTGGCGAAGGCACTTAGCTTGAGTCCCAGTTTGAGCGAGGTCGAACTGTCGAGCTTTGATGGCGAAGGCACTTAGCCTAAGTCCCGTTGTTTACATCGATGGTTCAACGCCTCGGGCGTTAAGTGTTGGCTTCGTTTTGGCCTGTGGTGTGTTGTACCCGTGCTATGATTGTTCGCTTGACCGTGGCACTCAGGTTGCTTCGAGGCGATTTTCGGTTCCTCATTTGAAACACCTCTGCGCTGGTTTCCGGCCTGATACAGTATGGTGGATGAAGGGGGGTGCTCCATTCTTTTGCCCGGCGCTCAGGAGGAGAAGGGAGGACGCTTTGCATCACTTCTTTCCTCGCTCGGGCTGTTTGAGGTCAACGGGGCGGAAGATTTCTGGCTCCCGTTGGGGCACTCGATTCTTTTTTTTTTGTTGATGCGCCTCCATTGACTCTGGTTTGAGTCGAATTTTCTTCTTGGTGCTTCTTTTTCTTCAATCCAGGAAAAACTAAGTATTTTCACTAGGAAATCCCAACAGACGACGCCAAATTGTTTGACTCAAAAGTTGTTTAATACTTTCTAAGCAAATCAATCAATGTAGATGAAGGGGTAAATCGTAGTCAACCTTAATTAATACTAGATCAAAGAACATAATCATAAAGATAGAAGAATCAATTGAAATGACACCTGGGAGGCTTTTATTGATTATAGAAATTTGGCCTGCCTCTCCTTGAAGAGGTTCAGGGGATTACAATCAAATTCTTTCTTCCTCCTTGGAGGTGGAATTTCTCTCTCTCTCTAAGATTGTTTTGTCTCTCCCTTCGTGAATTCCCCCCCCCCCCCCCCTTAAGGGGATCTTCTGCCTTCTATTTATAGCCCAAAACTCCTTATGCTTATCATATTTTGTTCGGGCCGGGTCGGGAAGATGACCTCCCTCATGGGGAGGCCTCGACCTCGACACTCATGTCGTAAACAGCAGCGATTAGGCGAAGCCGAGTTCATTGATTGCTACTGCGGGGTGGTCGGGACGGAATCCTTGCTGCCGTGGTAGTGTGGTCAGATTCTGACCAATACATTCTTTCCAACCATAAAATCACGACTTGCCCAAGCACCACGTTCATGTTCCATAAGATAACTACTGTACAGTTTGTGTTTTGGTCGAAACACGAATCAATTTGAAGGCCGCGTTGAAATTGTTTTCTCAACATAAAAAAAGAAAATTTTATTCATTAAAAGTTCCTCATAACAGACGTATAAGATGAAAATTTTGTGCATTTAGTTGGCACAATTTCGAGTTAGTTATGAAAAGGAGACTGCAGTTGGGGTTCAAAAATAGTCAATATAGTTAAGGACCTAAGGACTATTTGGTGCAAGAAATAAATATAATAATTTCAAAATAAAATGTGAAATATTTAGTTTTGTGTTTGGCTGAAATTTTTGATTGGCGGTATAAGTAATTTTGAAATTATGTATACTACAAGATTGATATTATTCTTCTACCAAATTAACAACTCACATTATAATTTCAAGCTTGGAATAACTACAGATCATAAGACAAGCTTGGAAGGGCATGTTTTTCCAAATCCCGTGGACACTAAAAGCTAGCTACAAGGTAATTATGTTGTGCTATAAGAATCGAGCGATATCCTTAACAAAATATATGCAATATTCGTTATGCTGAAAAGTCTTGGGATACTTTCAACAAATATCTGCACCAAACGCCTTCACTAAATTGGAGCGAAGCTGGTCTTACAAAAAGGCAAGAGAAAATTAAAGTTTGAAACGTATGTACTTTAATTTTCAACCTCATCTTGGTCCTTCCGGAAGATTTTAATAGTTCAGAATATTTCTTAAAGATATTAGGTGGAATGCATACTTAGTTGAAAAGATTGTTTATTTTAATTCTTATTTTCTATTCTTTTAACTTATCTTTTCGTACCATGGAGGATCTCCACGAAGGGGGTTCAAAAATTTTTTTTTAGCTAGTGGGAATTGAACCTATGACCTTATGAAGGTTTTGAACCCCTTGACCACTAAACTACACTTTTGGATTGTGTTAAAGAAGTTCAAAACTTAATATATAGAGTAGAAAATAAATTTTGCCTTATACATACAGTGTAATTTTTCGACGAAGAGGATTCGGGTGAACCCCTTCCGCCCCTAAATCTGCCCCTGCTATGGAGAACTGCTAATATTTGTATTTAGGGTGTTGCAATCAATTAACGAAGGTTAATAAATATAGAGATTGCCTTATAATCCTTCTTTTGTTGTTGGGGTTATTAGTGCGGGATAGAAGGGACAAACTTTTATATTGTAGAAGAATACGAGGAGCAAATGGGAAATCATTCGTGAGAATGTGCAGTCCAATAGTCCATATCAATATAACTATATCAAGATTATGAAAAGGAGACTGCAGTTGGGGTTTAATCTAACAAGGTAGAAATAAGCCGCACTTATAGTACTTTATTCTCGGTCAGTGGTTCAAAAGGACTCAAGGGATCATTATGTGCGAGAAATAAATATAATAATTTCAAAATAAAATGTGAAATATTCAGTTTTGTGTTTGTTTGAAATTTTTATTGGCGGTATTAGTTATTTCGAAATTATTTATACTACAAGATTGATATTATTCTTATACCAAATTAACAACTCACATTATAATTTTAATATAACTTGTACATAGATCAATTATGTATTACTGGGAGAGAGTTCAAAGTAAGGGTGTGCATGTAACTAATGAGGGTGTAGGTGCACTCCAGTTTGGAAAGGGGCTTTTGCATCTATATTCGGTTTTGAGGTCACAATTAAACATATACCCATTTTAAAAAAAAAAAATAATAAAAATAAAAAATAAAATTGCAATCACTTTACGATCAACTTCAAACTTATCGGGTCTAAATTTCAAAAAGAACATAGTCTGAGGTAAAAAAATTACACTTCAAATGCACTTAAGGCGAAATAGGTCTGAAGTGCAACCAATAGTTTCATGCACTTAAGGCCAATAATCTTGAAGTGAAAAGTTGCATTTCAGATGCACTTAAGGCCAAAATGTCTGAAATGCAACAAACGTTTTCCTACACTTGCTAATAAGTCTGAAGTGAAAAACAGCGCTTCAGATGCACTTAAGGCCAAATAGGTCTGAAGTATAACCAATGGTTTCATGCACTTAAGGCCAATAAGTCTAAAGTGAAAAATTGCACTTCAGATGCACTTAGGGCCAAAAGGTTTGGAGTGCAACAAACATTTTCCTACAGTTAAGGCCAATAAGTCTGAAGTAAAAAATTGTACTTCTGATGCACTTAAGGCCAAAAGGTCTCAAGTACAACCAACGTTTTCATGCACTTATGGCCAATAGGCCTTAACTGCAAATTACCAAGAAACAAAAATCTGTTCTTTGAATTTTAACAATCTCATATACGATTTAATATCTAAAGCTACTCGAAATGAGCTCAAATTTGAAACATAACCTCCAAATATCATTAAGAATAAACCTCAATCATCAATTTGTCAAAACAAGGATAAATCTAACGAACCCATTTTGCAATTAAGAAAGAAAAGAAGAAGAAACCCTAAGCAATAGTAAATAATAAAGCGCCACAACAACTCACCACTGTAAAATATCATAAACTACCTTAAAATATGTTCACAAACACCATATAAAAGTATTGTCACCCGAAGAAGAAGAAAGAGGAGAAAAGAGCCTGAAGTTATTTAAAAAGTTGGTATAAATTAAAAAAAAAAATTTAAAAATGGGTATACTGTTAAATGAGACCGATCAAATAAGGCAGTAGTGCAACTTTTACGTTTAGAAATTCGAATTTGTGACTCTACTTATGCTATCCCATGAGGGGACCAACTCCTACTCTTTTCACACTGTTCATAATAAATAATTTCCATTATTCAAAACCCTTAAATCATTCCCACAGCATTCTTTTTAGCAAAGAGAAATGAAGTTATCCCCTACGGCCTACGCCTATATAAGGAGTAGTCCCTCCCTCTTTGCATACATTAATTCTACCTCATCAAAAGCCTCCATCATCTCATCTATTCAATTAAACCTCAAACCCTGATTCTAGAATTCGTGCCTCACTTCTCTCTCATTGTATATTTCTACATACAGGAATTTCTTAACCTTCCTCCTTATACATATACCTTCGAAACAGTACGCCAACACTAGTCTCTAGCTGCTTGAAAATCACTCTTTTGTTGTTTCTGTGTCAGTTCTCATTAATTCAAATAATTTCTAAAAATCCATTTTCTCGTGAACCCAACTGATCGGGTGTTAGAAAGTGAAAATTAATGGATCATGAAATGTTTGACAACGCGAAATATGAGAAAGCCAGAGCAATGGCGTTCATGTTTATTTCCTGGTCCTGGACATATCTCCCGGCCGCCGTTAAATTCTCCGGCGACTTATTGGTCAAACTCTCAGTTTATATATACAATCCTCATGTCGTTTTTCTCATTGGCAACACAATTATAGTCTCTGTCTTATTGCTCTGCCGTCAAACAGAAGCCGATAACCACTCCATCACTGGCGGTATCCACCGTGATGATGTCCGCTCCTGTGAAGTTCAACTACCGATTGTCACTACCTGTGACGGCGATGTGGCAACTTCTTCGCCGCCGGGGATTGCGGAGCCTAATTTCGCCGGAGATGAAAGTAAGCAGATTGTTAAGGTGCAAAGCAACGCCGCAGAGACGACAATAGATGTAACAACGAAGAATATAAAGATACTTCAAAGGACTAAATCGGAGAATTTGAAGCAAGTGATTCCTTCAAAAAAGCTCCGTCGTTCCCAGACAGACATGGTGGCGGTAGACACACTTAGCAACGAAGAATTTAAGTTTACTATTGAAGCGTTCATAAAGAAGAATCAAATCTTTTTTGAGAAACAGAGACTAGCTGAAACAGAGCAGGAAAAATTGATCACATAAGTTTGTGGACAAGGATTTAAATTTTTGAGCTATTGTAAGATACTTATTCAATTCAAATCCGTAATATTACGAGTTCGAGTTTTAAAACATATTGATAAATTGAGTTTTCCAAATGTTGATTATGTTGGAAAAATGACAAGAAATTGCAGTTGAAGGAGCAGTAGTTAGTAATTACTAATACAAGAAAGCAAAGATAATCAGTTTAATTATAGATAGCATGTGACTGTACAAGGATTATTTCTGCGGTTCTGCCTATTCCCTGTTTTCTTCTTCTTTTTCCGGTCTTATGTCACAACCCAAATTCTCTCTCCGTAAACCGTCGTGACGGCATCTAATCTCAATGACTAGGTAAACCTAACAGTTGCGAAAATGAATTGAAGAACATAAAAATTACTCTCTGTTCTAATTTATGTGAACCTATTTCCTCTTTGGTCCGTTCCAAAAAGAATTACCCCATTCTAAATCTGAGAAACAATTTAGCTTAAACTTATAATTTTACCCTTAGTGGAAAGTTTTTATAACCACACAAATATTCTGGACCCCTTTTTAACTTGTTTAGGACCACAAATTCCAAAAGTCTTCATTTTTTGTTACACTCCGTGCCTAGTCAAACAGGTTCACATAAATTAGAACGGATGAAGTAACAAAAAATATTAAATAACCTATTGAGATGCCGCTCGGCATATACAATAAACAACTCTCAAAATATGCACAACTCTCCCAAAATCCGGAACGCCGTAAGTCACGAGCTTCTAAGAATGTCTACTGTTCTATACATCAGTGTCCAAAGAAATAAGGGAAGAATTAATATAAGGGGATAAAGGGGGATTCCAAGGTCTGCGAACGCGGCAGGTGTACCTTGAAGTCTCCGAAACGGCGACGACTGTGCAACTAAAAGCGAGGCTGGTAGGGGGTACCTGGATCTGCACACAAAAAGCATGTGCAGGAAAGGGCATGAGTACACAACAACGGTACCCAGTAGGTGCCAAGCCTAACCCCGGTCGAGTAGTGACGAGGTCAGATCAGGGCCGTACTGTATATATATATATATATATATATATATATATATATACACCAGACATAATGGAATATTAGACGCAGTAAAATAAAGACTGAAATTTAACAAAAAATGAAATCATAGAAAGGTAACAGCTCGGTAGACAAAGATAACAATAGGCGATCTCCCGAGATACCGTCTCGTAGTTTCAAACGTAAATATACGGGAGGGGGGTGGGGGATCTCCCAGAATACCGTTCCGTAGTCCCAAACTAAATGTGCGGGGGGGGGGGGATCTCCCGAAATACCATTCTGTTGTCCCAAAGTAAATGTGTAGGGGGATCTCCCAGAATACCGTTCCGTAGTCCTAAACTAAATATGCAAAATAGGGGGATCTCCCAGAATACCGTTCCGTAGTCCCAAAGTAAATATGCAGTTCAAACAATAAGATAACAGTTACAGCAAGAAAACCTACAGTTTAGACTAAGTACAAGTCAAGGAAAAATAAGAAATCCACTAAACATGTTGCAAAGACTTCAGATAAACAATTAAGGCAAGTAGACATGCTAATCTAGGCTAAACAGGATACTACACATGGTGACATAATTCAAATAGGAAGAAAACATGTTATTACTCAGTAAAAATTGCTTTTTACAACAATTAGCCTGTGTACGCAATTGTCACCTCACGTACACGGCGCTCACATATCAAAACAGTACCAAATCCTAAGGGGAGTTCCCCCACACAAGGTTAGGCAAGTCACTTTCCTCAAACCGAGCTCAAATCAATCTCTAACAATGCTTTTTCCACGAATATCAGACTCCGAATGGCCCAAATCTAGCCAAAATCAATTACATAACATAAATATAACGTACAAGTATTTAATCTAGCCATTGAAATCAAAGCTAAAGCAAGAAATTGGAAAATCGCCCAAAAAAGTTTCCCCGGGCCCACGTTTTGGAATCGGATAAAAGTCATAAAATACGAACACCCATACACTCACGAGTTCACTCATATAAAAATTATTCAAATCCGATGTCAAAATCCCAATCAAAACCCAAAATCTTAGTTGAAGAACTCCTTCCCATTTTTTCCAAATTTTCACCCCAAATCCGAAATTAAATAATAAAATTAATGATAGATTAGTGGAATATAACCATAATCCAGTCGAGAATCATTACCCAATTGATATATATGAAAATCCCTCAAAATCGCGTCCATAATCGAGCTCCCAAACTCAAGTTTTAATAAAAATCGTCAAACCCTCGTTTTTGAAACATTATATCTGCCCAGTTAATTACTTCTTCGCGAACGCGGTCAAAGCCTCGCGTTCGCGTTGAACAAAAATGTTGACCAGAAATTCCTCTTCCGCGAATGTGAGTGTCCCCTCGCGAACGCGTACCTTATACTGCCTAACCCTAGGCGCACGCGAGACCCTCTTCGCAAACGCGTATGCTTAATGCCTGAAGCTCCATCTGTCCGTTCCTCTCGCAAACTAGCCTCAAGGTTCCACATCTTCACGAACGCGGGAACCACATCGCGAACGTGAAGAGCAACTCAGCTGCCCTCCCAAAATACCTTATGCGAACGTGAGAACTCTCTCGCGAACGCGATGAAGGAAATGTCTGCAACAAAACACCAGAAAATCTGCTATCCTCCAAAGTCCAAAAAGGATCTGTTAAGCATCCGAAACTCACCCGAGGCCCCCGGGACCTCAAATAAGCATACCAACCAATCCTAAAACACCATACAAATTTAGTTCAGCCCTCAAATTATATCAATCAATGCTAAAATCACGAATCATCCTCCAATTCAAACTTAAAGAACTTGAAACTTGAAATATTCACAACCGATGTCAAAACCTATCAAACCACGTCCGATTGATCCCAAATTTTTCTCACAAGTTATATTTAACATTACGGACCTACTCCAACTTCCAGAATCGGATTTCGACCACGATATCAAACAATCCACTGCCGGTCAAAATCTCCAAAACACAATCCGGACACGCCCCTAAGCACAAAATCACCCAACAGAGCTAACGGAATCGACGGAACTCCATTCCGGAGTCGTCTTCATACAGTTTCGACTACGGCCCAAATTCTAAGGCTTAAGCCTCCGTTTAGGGACTAAGTGTCCCAAAACACTCTAAAAACCAAAACGAAACCTCCCGACAAGTCACATAATCAGAAAACGGTACGGGGAAAGCAGTAAATAGGGGATCGGGGCTAATACTCTCAAAACGACCGGACGGGTAATTACATCCTCCCCTTCTTAAATTAATCGTTCATCCTCAAACGAGCATAGAGACATACCTGAAGTGGTGAAAAATGAGGATAACGGCTGCGCATATCCTGCTCGGTCTCCTAAGTCGCCTCCTCGACCGGCTGACCCCTCCACTGAAGCTTCATCGAAGCAATTTTCTTTGACCTCATCTTTCGAACTTGCCTATCTAAAATAGCCACTGGCTCCTCAACATAAGATAGATCCTTATTCAACTGGACTGAGATGAAATCCAATATGTGAGAGGGAACATCGTGATACTTCCGAAGCATAGAAACATGGAATGTCGGATGAACTCCTGCAAGAATGGGAGGTAAGGCAAGCTCATAAGCAACCTCCCCAACTCGCCGCAACACCTCAAATGGACCAATGAACCTTGGGCTCAGCTTGACCTTCTTTCCGAACCTTATAACGACCTTCATAGGAGAAACCCGGAGAAAGACCCGTTCTCTAACCATGAATGCAACATCGCGAACCTTCCGATCCGCATAACTCTTCTGTTTGGACTGGGCTGCGCGAAGTATATCCCGAATCACCTTAACATTCTCCAAGGCATCCTAAACCAAGTCTGTACCCAATAATCTGGCCTCGCCCAGCTCGAACCAACCAGTGGCGCCCGACACCGCCTACCATACAGAGCCTCATACGGTGCCATCTGAATGCTGGACTGATAACTGTTGTTGTAGGCAAACTCCGCAAGGGGCAATATCTGATCCCAATAACCTCCAAACTCCATCACACACGCACGAACCATATCCTCTAGAATCTGAATAGGGCGCTCGGAGTGCCTGTCCGACTGAGGGTGAAATATTGTGCTCAACTCCACCCGAGTACCTAACTCATGTTGTACGGCCCTCCAGAACCGTGGTGTCAACTGCGTACCGTGGTCAAAGATTATAGATACCGACCGCCATGAAGTCTGACAATCTCGCGGATATACACTCGAGCCAGCTGCTCGAAAAAATAGGTAGTCATCACAAGAATGAAATGAGCTGACTTGGTCAGCCTAACCACAATCACCCAAACTGCATCAAACTTTCGCTAAATCCGTAGGAGTCCAACAATGAAATCCATAGTGATCCGCTCCCAATTCCATTCCGGAATCTCTAAGTTCTGAAGCAATCCACCCGGTCATTGATGCTCATACTTCACATGCTGGTAATTTAGACAGCGGGCTACATATTCCACTATGCCCTTCTTCATCCTACGCCATCAATAATGCTGCCTCAAATCCCAATACATCTTCATGGCACCCGGATGAAGGGAGTACCGCGAGCTGTGAGCCTCCTGAAGAATCAACTCACGCAATCCGTCTACATTGGGCACAAATAGCCCGCCATGCATCCTCAATGCAACATCATCCCCAATAGTGACCTCCTTAGCATCACCGTGCTATGCCGTGTCCTTAAGGACGAGCAGATAGGGGTCATCATACTGACGCTCCCTGATACGATCATAAAGAGAAGACTGGGAGACCACATAAGCCAAGACTCGACTCGGCATAGAAATATCCAATCTCACAAACTGGTTGGCCAAGGCCTGAACATCCAACGCCAATGGCCTCTCGTCTGCTGGTAAATATGCTAAGCTCCCCAAACTCCCCGCCCTGCGACTCAAGGCATCGGCCACCATATTGGCCTTCCCGGGATGGTGCAAAATGGTGATATCATAATCCTTAAGCAGCTCAAACTGTCACGACCCGATTTTCCAATCTAGGTCGC